GTCCAGGTCAACTGAAAAAGTTGGAAGACCAACAATTACAAGCATTATTGGATGAAGATGCATGTCAAACTAAAAAACAACTTTCAGAAACATTAAACGTTGCTCAGCAAACAATTTCTGAGCATTTATAAGCAATGGGAAAGATTTATTTTTTATTTTTTTATTTTTAAAAAATATATTTTATTGATTTTGTACAGAGAGGAAGGGAGAGAGATAGAGAGCTAGAAACATTGATGACTCTCATAGATCAGCTGCCTCTTGCACACCCCCTACTGGGGATATGCCCGCAACCAAGGTACATGCCCTTGACCGGAATCGAACCCGGGACCTTTCAGTCCCCAAGCCGACGCTCTATTCATTGAGCCAAACTGGTTTTGGCACAATGGGAAAGATTTTAAAGAAGGAAAATGGGTGCCACATCAAATGAACAAAAAAGTCATCAGTAAAAGATTGCTTCAAGGGCACGAAAGAAAGTATTTTTTGCACCAAATTGTGACAGGTGATGAAAAGTGGATTTATTTTGAGAATCCCAAACACACAAAATCATGGGTTGATCCAGGTCAACCATCAACATCAACTGCAGGCCAAATCCTTTTGGAAAGAAGACAATGCTCTGTGTTTGATGGGATCAGGAAGGTATGGTGTATGATGAGCTTCTAAAACCAGGTGAAACCATTAATACTGATTGCTACTGGCAACAAATAATACTGGGAAGTATTAACCCACCTATCACAGTCACCAGACCTTGCTCCTTCACATTACCACTTGTTCCTATTGATGGCACACACACTTTCTGAGCAGCACTTCAAAACATATGAAGAAGTGAAAAATTAGGTCTTTGAATGGTTTGCCTCAAAACAAGAAAAGTCCTATTGGGATGGTATTCACAAATTACCTAAAGTTGGGGAAAATGTGTAGCTAGCGATGGACATTACTTGAATAAAGCACTTTTGATGTTTATGGCCTTCCTTAACCATCTATTCTAATTATTTTTAAATTATCGTGTTTTCTTTGATTACAAAATCCACATTACTAACTGGTACACCTGGTAAGTACATACATATATACCTCATTCTTTTTTAACAGCTGTATGTTAAATCATGTATGTTCATTTATTCATTAATTCACTCCACAAATATTTTTTGAGCACCCACTATGTCTAGGGATTAAGGATAAAGCAGTCCCTTATTGATGGGCATAATTTAGGGTGTTTCTAATACTTAGCTATTACATTGATACAATGAGCATATCAGTTCTTACGTGAGAGTTTTTATTTGGCATTGATTCAAAAAACTCAATGGCATTTCTAATACTTGAATCTCACGTTCAATTAGGATAGTGTTCACATGACAGGTTAATTTGTGTTGAGATCAGATATTTATTTAATGTGTAAACCACCCAATAAAATGCCCTATTGGAAACTGGACAACTGCCTCTACAATTTCCCTTTATATGTGTACATAGTTATGTCCAAATTTTTCTACTCATCCTCAAGGTCCAGCTCAAATGCCCTCTCCTTTCAAGAAGCCTTCCATAGACCCTAATTGGATGTAATCTCTCACATGCCTCTTTAGCTTAAATATGGCCCTAATCAGAGACTACTTTGAGTCAGAAATACATCCTCTACTAGACTTTCATTTTTCTTCATGAATGGACAGTGCCTTTAATTCATCCTGCATTCTTCCTCAGCGTATAGCACAATGTAACTAAACAGAAGCCCTAAAGCAAAAAAGTGCACCCTGGAATCTCAGGAATGAGCATGGAACTTGCACACTGACCAGATGGTGTTTGTACACCATCAGTGTGACATATGCTTCCTATGGCTCAGAAGCTCTGCAGAAATTGCCATCTTCTTCAACTATCTACCATTCTCCTTTCTTCAATGCTCCAGCCACACTGGCCTTTTTTTTTCTGGCTTTGAACACACTAACTCTGCTCTCACCCTCAGGCCTTTGTACCTGTCATTCCTTCTGCCTAGAGTGCTCTACCTCCTGATTTCTGCTGGCTTCTCCTTTCCCTTCAATACTCACCTCAATTTTTACCTCCTCAAAGAGGCCTTCCTTGACCATCTATTCTAAATTTGGTCCCCAACTCCAATTACTCTCTATCATGTTACCTTAACTTAATTCTCCACATAGAATTTTTCTCTCTGAAATTAACATGTTTATTTGCTTGCACTAGAATGTAAGCTGCACCAGAAGAGGGACCTTGTCTGTCTTGTTCAACCTGTGTACTTTCAATGGCTACAATAGAGTCTGTAGTAGTAAAGGATGCTTTTGGCTGAAAGGAAGAAAATATTCAACAAAAAGTTGCATAAAGCAAAAGGGCTTACTTGTATCCCATAGAAAGGAACTATAATAGGTGGCAGGCAGTGCTAAGATGGGTTCAACAGTTCAGTGCTATCCAGATTCTGGACTGGCTTCTCTGCAATGATCTTGGCCTTCCCCTGTGGTTGCAAAATGGCTGTCAAGGGTATCCTGTTTCCCCGAAAATAAGACAGTGTCTTATATTAATTTTTGCTCCCAAAGATGCGCTAGGCCTTATTTTCAGGGGATGTCTTATTTTTCCATGAAGAAGAATACGGTACACATTTATTGTTAAATGAAAATAAAGGAAATTTATTACCTGTATACGGTACGGTAGTACGGTAGTTGTCAACACAAATCAGATAAACTGTGAATCCTATAGTATCAAGAATTTACTCATTTATTCAATGAGAATCTTCTGGAACATCATCATAACAATCCAATTCCTGAATTTCCTGGTGAATTTCTTGTGACTCCATTTCTTTCAGAATCAGTGGACCAAATCTCTCATGTTTAGCCTGGAGGGGGGGCTTATTTTTTGGGGGGATGCCTTATATTTCACTCAGAAGGAAACCTGTAAGTAGGTCTTATTTTTGGAGGATGTCTTATTTTCGGGGAAACACGGTAGATGCATCACAAGAAAATATCTCTCTCAAAAAGGAGTAGGTGTCTCTGCCCATCCCTTCTTGTCAGGGTGGAAAGACTTTCTCAAGAGCACTCCTCCCACACTTCTTTTTTACATTCCATTTGGCCCAAATTGAGTCAGTGTCAAGACTATCCCACTAGTAAACAGAGTGAGAATTATCATGATTTTTTTAAACAGTCATAATTCATCTCCTGGATCTGGGCCAGCCTTTACTAAGCCCTGTGGCTCTGTCTTACACCTGAAGCATATTTAGGTTTTCTTAGCAAGCAAAAAGTGTGTGGCTTATTATGGGGTAATCAACAGTGTGGGCCATGCAGGCATTCAAGGAATGGAGGGTATGAATTCATGCTGATACATCTACATGCAACAATTAACAAATTACACACACACACACACACACACACACACACGCACACACACACACACACAGTGTGCAAAGCAAAGACTGCTAATACAAGGCCCCTGCCTTTAGAGTCACAGGGTCTCCAGGACCCTCCATCTATGCAATGTCAAGACTAATATGAAGCCCTAGCTAGTTTGGCTCAGTGGATAAAGCATTGGCCTGTGGACTGAAGGGTCCCAGGTTTGATTCTGGTCAAGGGCACATGCCTGGGTTTCTGGCTTGGTCCCTGTGGGGGGCGTGCAGGAGGCAGCCAATCAATGATTCTCTCTCATCATTGATGTTTCTATCTCTCTCTCCCTTCCTCTCTGAAATCAATAAAAATATATATATTTTTGAAAAGACTAATATGAAGACTGCTGAAATAGGCTTGCTGTTAAAAGACTTGTTCTTTGCCAGGTTCCCAGAAACCATTAACCACGCCCCCCCCCCTTTTTTTTTTCATAACAAAGTTCCTTATGAAGGTGTGACTGCTTGGTCTTTGAAGTTGGGAAAAGTGCCCTCTGGCAGTTGTAAGAATTCTCTTAGAAGGTCTGCATGGTTCCCCAGAAATTATGGGTCAGTTTCAAACTCTCCACAAATGAGGTAACCAGACAAATACTGCTCGATGAGTGGAGCCTCTCTCATTTTGCACTTGGGGAGGTTTTAGGGGTCACTAGTACTTCAGGATTCCCATTCTTATTTTTGCCTTAAACGTGTTTGTTTTACAACTAGTTAGGAAATATCTTTTGGTTCTTGGAAAACAGTCGGAAGGCGAAGAAGTAGTAGGAAATGGAGCGGTGATGGCAGGGCACATGGAAAAGCTTCTAGAAACCCCTAGTCCTCCAGAGCCCAAGCAATGGCCTTCCCAATGCCACCCTAACCACAGCCCTGGTGCGCAGTCACTACTGAACTAGACAACTCGCCTTAGGCTCAGGCTTCACCACCAGCTCTCCAGCCCTGGAGGTGGTGTTGGTGGAGCCTGACACTGCAAGTTTCCAATTCTCACCGCTCTCTAAGGAGGTGGACTCCGAGAAAGAGGGCCAATTGAGTAAGAAAAACGCCCTGGGAGGGGAGAGGATCCAGGCTAGCCACTCGGGCGAGAAAACAGCTCTCCCTCTTTCCACAGGGGTTCGACCCCTCCCCAGCGGGGCACACAATAGGCGGCTGCTCCACGTTTTCAAAATCCATGCCGCCAGCGCCCTGGAGCTCGAGGGGTGGGGAGGACGCGAGCACTGCAGCCGCTGGGGCGGCAAAGGAACTCTGGAGTAGCGCACGCCCCACACTAGGAGACATTTTATTAACCTCCTTCTCCGCTCTTCCCCCGCCCCAATACCACCACCACAGGCGCAAAAACAGCAGCAGCCAGATCTCCCCTCCCGGATGCGGCTGCACCAGCAACAGCGTCTGCGGGCGGAGCCCAGCGATTGCCACTTCCCCCCTCTTCCCTCGTGACCTCGGAGCCCCCCGCCAGGTCTCACCCCTCCGCACCCCCACATTCACACACCCTTTCTCCTAGACACGCCTTCCTCCTTGGGCAGGTCGCGCGCGGGGCTAGATTTCTCTAGGGGAGGGAGTGGCCGCTGCCGCCGAGGGGCTGGACGGCGAGAGAGTGAGGGAGGGAAGGAGGGGGCAGGGGGGAGGAGCCGCGAGAGGGAGGGCGGGAGGGGCGGCGGGCGCCGCGCGGCTATGTGGCCAGCCGGCCTGCGGGTAAACAGGGAGCAGCAGTGGCCTCGGCCGCCCGGCCCGGGGCGTTGAGCACACCCGCCGAGACCCGCACCCGTGGCCATGGCCGAAGTGCGCAAATTCACCAAGCGGCTCAGCAAGCCCGGCACGGCGGCCGAGCTTCGGCAGAGCGTGTCGGAGGCCGTGCGCGGCTCCGTGGTGCTGGTGAGTGGCCGGGGCGCGGGGCGTCTGGGGGACGCGCTTCGGGCCGGTGCGATGGCGAGGTTTCCGCGTGCGGGGGCTGGGAGCCAGCAGGCGCTCCCGGCGGCTCCCCGCTCCCGCGCCCTCCGTCTCCGGGTCTGTAAGTTTGCGCACTGGCCGCGCTGGCCGGGGTCGGAGTCCCGGCGCCCGCTGACAGCTCCGCGGCTGCAGCGCGCGGCGAGGGCGTGTGCCCGCTGGACTCTGGCGGGCCATCGGGGGCTCGGGACCGGGTTCTGGGCTCAGGGTGTGAGCTGGGGAGCGGACCCCTCGCTGTCCTAGCCCCGCCACAAAGAACCGGGAATCTGGCGCTACGAGATCCCGATTCCCGCCTGCTGGCACCTGAGGCAGCCTGGGCAGAAGGATGCGTTTAAAGGTTTTGCACTTACACAGTAGCGCGCGCGCGCTCACACACACACACACACACACACACACACACACACCCACCCACACTGTGAATACAAAAAAAAAAAAAAAAAAAAAAGAGAAAGAACCCCACCCAAAACGCCCCGAGCGTCCCAGCTCTGGCGGGCGATGAGAACAGAGGAAGCAGAGCCACTTCCTCCTGCTACTGGGGAGAAAGAGGCTGGTGTGATGGGCATTGAAGGGGCGCTTCTGCCGCTGCCGCCCTAGAGAGTGGGGATTGGAAACAACGGGGGTTCCAGAGCTGGTGGGCGCGGGGCGGCCGCTTCTGGGCGAGGTGTCCCCTGGGACCCAGGAGATGGGGGTCTGTGAGAGGTGTGGGGGAAGATGGAGAACTTAACAGCTTTTTCTTGTAATTTTTCAGTTCTGGTGTGGAGAAGCTGGGGTGAGAGCCGCACCGCTTAGGCCTGGGGGGATGGGGATTTGAAAGCGCGCTGATCCCCTGGGAACCTCCTCTCACATCCTCAGCCTCATCCAGATTGTCTGACTCTGGAGAAAGATCGTGGGTGCTAAAGGGCACTTGCTGCTCCTCCTGTTTCTAGACACTCTCGCTAATTTCCTGGACTGGGGAGCAAGCCCTAAATAAGCAATCAGACTGGTTAACGAGCGTTTTTTGTTACTTTGGCTTTGTTTGTTGTTGTTTCTCTCCCCCCCCCCCCCTCCACTCTCTCTACCTTACAGCGTATCGTATGCTGTGTTTAAATTTCATCATTTAAGAGTGGGCTCTTTTTGTTAAAACAACTTATCATCGACAGAGAACTTCACAGCTTTTCCTTGTAATTTTTCTGTTGATCTTGTAGAATCAGCGATAAAACCAACATTAAAGGGAGGCCAGGGGCCTGATCCCAACAGTGGAGAAAGTTGACATTAGTGGGAGTTCTGGAGGAGGATCAAAGGTAAAATATGTACCTTTGAGATAATGATCTGATCCCTAATAGCTATAACTGTGCAAAGCCAAGTGACTTTAAAGAAATCTCTCTATCTGGCTGAACCCTTGGAAGTTGAATCCTGCTGTTTAGCAGAGCAAAACCCAGACCTTTAATGTTTTTTAAATGGTCTTGGCTTATTGTATGTCTCACTGATTTTAGAATGAGGTCCTGTTGGGTCAGATTAGAACCTAGATTTGTCATCAGCCAGTTAAGAGAGGAAGGCAAGCTGTGTGCAGGGCATTTCTACCAGGGCTCTCCCGCAATTGTTAACAAGTGATTCAATCCGTCTAGTACAAGAAATGCTTTCCTACAATATATTCGGGAAGAAAGAAAACCTCGCTTGAGCAGGGTGGCTGGCTTAGCACATCGCGGGAAGGGAGCCTGTGAAGTGGACACATGTTCTCAAGAGAATAAATGGGACACAGCAAACCTCCAATGGGATTTGACCAGCATTTGACCTGCCACCCTCAGCAGCAAAAAGTTAACCTTAGCATTCTTGCTCAGGTTTTTAAAAGAATTTTGTGTAGCACAGGTGCAGTTGTTCTTAACCATTGGCCCTGTGGCAAAGCTGGAAAAACTATTAGTGGGAAGAGAGTCTTCTGGAGAGTGCCTGCGTAGCTTATTGGAACGGAGGCCATAGATTTTTACCAGGCAAGGCCCAGGAGTAATATTTATTACTACTCTGGTGTGTGATGCACATTGAGATTTGGGCGGTGGGGGAGAACAGATTCTATGAATCTCAATCAGCCATTATCTATGGAACCTCTACTGTGTTCAAGACACAATGCCCGATGCCCTATAATTATAAGTGAATGTGAATGAATTTTTCTCCGTTTATCTTTATTAGTGCCAACTGGGGTTGGATCTTTCTGTGTGCATGTGTTTGTCAAAAGAACACCCAGAATATGCATACAAGTCAATTTTTAGATTATTCATAGCAACTTAGTGAATGCAGTTTTCAAGCAGTTCAGTCAGTTAAGAAATAAGGAAACGGTCTTAAATAGAGTGTTCTCTCCTAAATGGCTCGCTTTCTTGGCCCCTGCTTTTCTGACACAAAGAGCTGGTAACTAAAGTTAGCAAAGTCATGGTGGCCGGAGAGCCAGTGGACAACAGTGCAGCTGTATCCAGAGCAGTCTGATTCTTTTCCGATATAAGCCCGAAAGTGTTTATGAGGGATATCTGAAGTTGGACATACACTTGCTACCTTAAACTCATGGCACTCCTGTTATTAGGACTTCATTATGGAGTCATTCTCACACAGTTCAAGCTTTCCTCTGGTGTATCTCTCACTAGAACTTTGAAAACCCACCAAGCTGAGCAAATATACAGTGCTTCCTGTTTAGGTGTGTGGTTTTTTTTTTAATTAAAAAAAATTTTTTTTTACAATCATACCCTTGTAGGTGTATGTTGCTAACATCATCCCGTTTTGCTCACTGTTTGAAAAATTCAGAAGGCATGGACTATATATAGCATATAGTCATGTATTCAGACCTTCATTCAGTTATTAGTACTTCCACAAATCCATTAGCTGTATTAATGAAGTACTCAGAGAGGCATTGTTCCGTTGCTGCATTTTCCTATAAGTTTAGCATTTTTATGAGGGTCAGTTTTAACATAAGGAAATGGGTAATTACAGAATTGAACCTGGACAGAGATTTGTCAAGGGAGGCTTGGGAAGAATATTATAACTTGAGAATGTGTGTGATTAACTGAGAAGTGTTTACATATATACATGTTTTCAATGCAGACTTTTAAATGCTGTTTTTGTTATCATTCGGGATATAGCTATTTGTATCTGGGGAACAAAGGCATTTGATAAACCTGTTGTATGCTGGCTTCTTAAGAGAAGTCATAGTGCCTGGGAAAGTTACCTAGTGGGTGTTTAAATACTGTTTGCTTGCTGCTGCTGAATTTACCCTCAATTCTTTGTGTGTCAAAGGATCAGGAAAGAGTTGCTAGATATTACAGGTTGTAGCCCCTTGAGGCAGAGTAATGCATGCAATATCCCCTGGCTCGCATCAGCCAGATTTCATATAATAACTCCAGTAGAGAAAAGCTCCCCCAAAGCTGAGAATGGCTGAAAAGCCTACAGCTGCTGACTCCCCCCACCTGGTACACACTACCTCCGCATGGAATGTGTGCTAGGTTGGAATTTAGGGAAGATCTGAAAAGGACTTGGGGAACTCCTCTGCTCCATCATCCCCAGGGGAATTTGCTGAAAGTATTTATAATAATATAGGACAAAACAACTGACACTCGGGGGATAAAGCCAGTTTCAGTGGGCTTCTTGGCCACGAGTTACCAATTCAGAGACTTAGCCTGGACCTGAATGAACTGAGAGTCAGGAAAGTTACCCTCACTGTTGGCTCCTAAATATGGCTCCTCACCACGCCTGTGGGCTTTTCCAGGTTAGGAGAGCCTGGGGCAAGTCACTCCTGGAGGATCTTTCTAAAAGCCCAGGGCAGAGTTTACTGTGAAACCAGAGAGGCCTCCTCACTTAGCCCTCTTTGAAGCATCAAATGGTAGAATTTGTTTTTTAAGATGAACATGTTAAATTCTCCAGATTGATTCTTTTCCTATTCTAATCTTCAGTAATCCTTCTTTTTGAAACATTTATTGTTTCATTACAAAATGCATGTGTGTTGTAGAAGAGTTAGAAAAACAGCAAAGAATAACCACCAGCGTCTCATCACTCACGGAACTCAATATTCTAACATATGTATACATGTCTGTCTTCTCTGTGTGTGTATGAAAAAAATGGATTGGATAATTATATCATATAAACTTTAAAATACTTTTTTCCCCACTTACCAATATCTTCTGAATATTTTTTAAAAATATATATTTTATTAATTTTTTACAGAGAGAAAGGGAGAGGGGTAGAGGGTTAGAAAATCGATGAGAGAGAAACATCAACCAGCTGCCTCCTGCACACTCCCCACTGGGGATGTGCCCGCAACCAAGGTACATACCCTTGATAGGAATCGAACCTGAGACCTCAGGCCGATGATCTATCCACTGAGCCAAACCGGTTAGGGCTGAATATTTCTTCACACCAATAAACATAGCTCTACATAATCATGTTTAATGACTGCAAAACTTCTACTATGGGTGTACAATAGGTAATCATCCTTTATTGTTTGATATTTTGATAATTTCTAATTTTGTGGGATTGTAAACCTGAGCTGTCTAGTACAGTAACTACTAGCCACATTTAAATTTAAATTAATTTAAAAATAAAAATAACTCCTAAATTGTACTTGCCACAGTTCAAGTGCTCAATTGCCACATGCATGTGGCTAGTGGCCATCACATAGGATGGCACAGAGAACATTCCCATCATTATAGAAAGTTTCTTTGGACAACATGGTATAAACATTAATTGAATGAATGTCTTTGAACAGGCATTGTCAAACTTGTTAGATTGTCCTTTTCAAATAAACTTCTAGCATTGGAATTGCTTGTGCAGACATTAGACACATTTTTAGTGTTAAAAATTTCTCTAAACACGCTCTTAAATTGCTTTGCAGAAAGTTGTTGGTATTTATTCTTTTCACCATCAGAATGAATATGTGTTCATTTCCCCTCTCCCATGCCAACACTGGTTATCAATAT